TATTGTCTATAGACTTGTATTGACTCCAGACTGATATTGTCTATAGACTGGTATTGACTCCAGGCTGATATTGTCTATAGACTTGTATTGACTCCAGACTGATATTGTCTATAGACTGGTATTGACTCCAGGCTGATATTATCTATAGACTTGTCCTGACTCCAGACTGGTATTGAGTACAGGCTTTTATTATCCAGCTGTGCTTCGTAGAGTACAAATAACGCACGAGACGAGTACAAATATCACGCGATATTTGTATTCCAGAAATATCCGCGAAATTCGCCCGCACTGAAATAACAATTTGGCGTGTTAGATAATAAATCTCTTATTAGACGTTTTGTTGTGTAGTATCGCTGAGTATCTTTACTCGTTGTTTGTATTTTGACTCACCCTACAGGCTCGTCAAAATACGGCATAACTCGTAAAAATACTCAGCAATACTACACAATAAAACGTCCTAATAACACATATTTATTACGCGACTCGTGCAGTCAGAGGGCCAATAACTAAGATCAACCAATCAAAATGCTCCATTGCCGGTCCAATATTTTCTAAGTATTGGACCGGGCACTGTCCCGAATGGTCCCGAATGATACCGCACTTGTATCCCTTTGAACTTCGCCCGCACTGAAATAACAATTTGGCGTGTTGGATAATAAATCTCTTATTAACCAAGCTTGCTCAGGACCGTACTGGAAGAATATCGGCCCTCGGTCTTTTTTGTACGGACCTCACTGCGCTCGGTCCGTACTGTCAAGACCTCGGGCCGATATTCTCCCGGTACGGCCCTCGCGCTTGGTTAATAAGATATATGTATTGACTCCAGACTGTATGCAGGTTTTAAGTTCCCAGTTAGGAACATTGGGACATCATTGCTTGGACGAGTGATTCAAACTAGCTAAATTTACAATTGGGGCAGTGTGAAAGCCATTTTGGCTGGGAGCGTTAGACGATCCCTCTGCTAGCCATAGTGTCGGGCCCAAGCTCCCTCAAAATGAATTCATACTACCTCTAGTCTCAGGAAGGCCTAACAGTGCTGTTTGTTTGGTCCTTGCAGCTTCTTGTCAGGCAAGTGTGGTTTGAATTAAGCCGGCACTGTTTTCAAAGCAGGTACAAGGCAGAAATATTTAAAGTGTGATTCCATTTATCAGTGCTACAACTAATTGCGTGCAGTATCGTTGTCATACAAAAAAGGAAAACAGCAAAGAGCCAAATTCGATTTAATTGGCATATAGCATGTGTCTAAGGCATTTGCATATATATAAACATATATCTTTTCACTTTTTGGAATCGCTTGGGAATTCTTAACAACATTTGATACTTTTAAGAGGTCTGAAGACTTTTTCTGTGGAATTTCTGCGAAAAAATTTCAGCTGCCGAGCATATTGCTAGAGGGTAGCTTTAGATGCTAATAAATTCCTTTTTTTGTCTCTGATTTTTTCCTTCCTCTATGAAAACGTTATGACAAACAAATGTATATGCATGTATATTGGAACTAGTTTATTTTTGTCAACCACAAATGCCTTGAAAGTTCTTTCTTCATATTAAATGTTTGTAAATATGGACCCCTTTTGCGTAGCTTCGCAAAAGAACGAACAGTTAAATGGATAGATTGGCAGATGACCATTCAATTGCTAATCGTCCGTCGAAACGAAGCTAAAATTACTTGGCCATCAGAATTCGAAAACCTACGCCTTTTAAGTGGCTATTTCTTACAATCTTTTCTATTATTCCGTCTAATTTAAAAACAACTACAATAGCTCATCCGGACAAAAATTTCGCTTGGATGTTAACTTTGTGAAACTCATTTTGTTGTATTTTCTTTCTCTCAAAAGAAGGCGCGAATGTTTGCCATATCTGGAGTCTAGCAAGGTAAATTCGATCAACTGTAAGAAGAAACCAAGCGGAAACAGAAAAGTTAGTGATAGCAGTACTGGAAACGAAGAAGAACCACTATTATACATTGACAAACATGACATAAAGCAATCTCATCGTAATTGTAAATGCTTTTTGGTAACTTAGCTTTAAAGAGAGGGAAATATAACGAAGCAATACAACAATCAGGGCCAGGAGTAATACATGTGGGTACTGTCATCAGAGGATATGACTGTTTGCCCACATAAGCAAAGACCCTCTAAGTTCTGATTGGTTGCTTTACAAAAGAATATTCGTTTACACAGGAGTCAACGGTCAACGGTCATGTTTAACTATTATTATAGAAAGAAAGAAAATAATTAAGAGAGGATGACTTGAACCGTCGGCATTAAGAATAATGAAGGTTTTGATGGCATGGAAAGTTAAGTTTTTTACACCCACGGGCCAATAGCAGACACTAAATTGACCAATCAGAAAGAACGCTTTACGTGATTTATGTTATAATTAACAATTATTCCACGAGCGCGCGTTGGATATGAGATGATAGATAGCCAACGAAGCGCGTAGCGCTGAGTTGGCTATAATCATCTCATATCCAACAAGAGCGAGTGGAATAATTGTTTTATTAAAAACGTTAAATTAAGTATAAAATTTTATTAAATTTTTAGCTCCCTTTTAATATTAAGCTGACACTTACGATGGCCATATTTGTAGATTATGGTATATTGGCTGATATACCATAAGGGCTAAGCCAATAAAAAGTCTTGAATTGCATTATCCAATGATCTAGTTTTTAATAAAAATCGTTAGTCGTTGCAATCAAACTTCAAATATACAGCATCTTTCATTATTCTAAACATCTTTCAAAACTAAAAATTTCATGTATCTTCAAAACTTAGGGCTATTAATTAAGTTTATTTTATATCTTCTGTAGATACAGTGAAGTGATAGTTTAAATATTATTTTAGTATATCTGAGGACATTTTCTAGAAATAGAAAATATAGTTATTCTAAGGTCATTGGGAAAATGCCACAAGTATTCTGCAAATAATGTAAGTGGTAAGTAAATGGTTGTGTTAGATTAAGAGTTGTATCTGTAATACAGTCCATAGTAAAGTAAATGGTTGTGTTAGATTAAGAGTTGTATCTGTAATACAGTCCATAGTAAAGTTTTAACAAAATCAGAGCTAAACTCATTTCCTCAAACTAGATAGAACGAACGTCATTCTTGTTTCAACTGTATATCGATGTACTTCAGAGCAATTTTTTTTTAAAAATTGCTCCGAAATACATCTATTTAACGTTGAAAATTTACTACATCATAGGGGGAAATTACTTGCGTTCGTCTAGCTGTTTGTAGTAGTTTATTTATGAAGTTTATTGGGGTTGTCCAGGCTTCGCTTTAAGGAAAATTGAATGGAACCCCGTGCTCTGAGACTGCGAATTCCAGGGTGCCCAGCATACGCTTTGTATGAAAAAACTAAAATTCCTGAGGCGCCCAAGAGCAAAAGTAAGGCGCCAGAGACCACCGGGCGCTGCTAGACCACAGCTTTGGTTGTTCATTAATGTGATTAAGGGAGATAATACACTTTCACTTGAACTGTCAAGTAATGAGCAATTATCGATCATATTTCTGCTCTGAAGTACATCTGCCCTAGCTTCTAATTCGGTGTATATGATATTAGGTACTTTATGGGGGAGTAGACACTAGTCGCGTTCTGCTACGTTTAGTAGTTTGTGTTTAAGACAAAGAGAATTCGTAATATCTTTTATTATAAATAAGATAGATCAGAGATGTAATACAATACAATTAATATGACGTCTAACACTTCAAAGTAATGATTTTGGGACAAGCTTGTCTTAAGGTAGTTTCATTAAATAAAAAAAGGGGAAATTAAAATTCAGCTTGTTGTCGCTGTGTTCACTCTTTCCTTTTCAAACATGGCGGCCCTGAGGATGTTGACTACATCATCGTTAAGGTGCTTCATGTCTATTGGTCGGTTGCCTCTACTATCCCGGATGTTGAGATCAGCATTGGCTTTAATAAGAAGCTTTGTAAACTCCCTGTCATGCTTCTGGACGCACATGTGCAATGGTGTCTCGTGGTCCGCTTCTGCAGACGAAATGAGTAGTTTACACTAAGCCATGCAACTGCTAAGATCTTTTTTAAAAATTCTCCGTCTAAATACCGTACACCTCCTTTTAAACTGATCAGGAGAGTTCGGTACTTCGTCAAAACAACAACTCGGGGTTAATAGCTATTTTAATGCTCATCACTTGCCTGTTGGGTAACATATTGAAATTGGGAGGCGAGCTTAAATGCCAAAGCCTGCTTATCAGTTTTGGATGTAGCAGTGCATTTCGAGCCTCAAGTAAACAGTATAAATACCTTACTCGTGGCAAATCTTATATGATTAGGTCACGGTCGGTTTTAGCTCGCAATTGATTGCGTTTGAAAATCTTCTTAGTTTTATTAATGTGACGGGGCTGTGATAAAATGACTACTTCAAATGTGGCGATTTCCAATCTCAAAATGTACACCTGGGTTACAGCTATAGATATTGACTACCACCAGCCTCCCCTGCATAATTCCCTCTAGATCGTTAACAGGGTTTGAAATGGAAACTATAGAAATAATTGCCAGTGAAGGGCGATCATTAGAACATTACAGAACTTTAGGCGATCGGTTAAATTTTATCGTGACACAACCAAATTAAAATGCCCCAACCACATCAGGCGATGAATGATGAGCGATCCCTTAGGGCTCATCACTAAGTCAAGAGTTGGTAAGGAACATACACGAATGAAAGAATCTTGCCTGAAATGGCATTGATATTTGCTCCAGACGCGATCAGCACCTTTCCGACTTCAAGTTTCCCACAGCGTGAAGCATGATGGAGAGGTGTGTATCCCTTAGCTGACAACGCTTCCATATTTGCACCGTATTTTATTAGTAATTCCACTCCTTTGTCTTGACCCATGCGCGCTGCCAGGTGTATTGGGGTAAAAGACTGTGATCCAGAGTGTATTTCTGTATTAGCGCCCCTACGTAAAAGGGCCTTGAGGACCTTTATTTGACCGGCCTCTGCAGCTTTGTGTAACAAGGTTGTCTGGATTGCTTTATACTTCCTGTTGATATCCGTACCTTGTTTTATTACCTCTTTAAGGTACCTTGAATGACCACATACAGCGCTGAAGTATGCAGGGGTGAGACCATCGCGGGTTTCACTGTTGATATCGGCTCCTCGGTGATACAAAAACAATAAAAACAAAAACATTTTAATCGATTAAAATTGACAGTCTTATGACGTTAATTGATTAATGAAGACTCCTAGTATTTGTGCTAAACCAGCCAGGGGTGCTAAGATGACATATCTATTTTTAGACCTGGCGCGCAGCGCTATTACAAACTCAATGTAGTTGCTGTTAAATCATAATTAGTTGAAACAAACAATTTAAAGCCTATAAAGTGATTTTGATAAATCCATGAAATAAATAGCGTCTTGACTGCTTTTTCACCCAAATTCTTTTCTTTTTTTTGGAATACTTAAGTGCTATTTAGTACTAATTCATACTATTTGTTTCTGGGTTTATGAAAACCATTCTAATGCTTATTTCAAAAATTTAACAGTTATATTTCACAAGAAAAGTTACACAGATGCAGATAAGTTTATATTCATGTTTCAGTTCATTCCCATCTATGGTTTATCATATTCATTGACAATGACATGACATGAATGACATGAAAATGCAATTTTGATATATATCTCATTAACCAAGCGCGAGGGCCGTACTGGGAGAATATCGACCAGAGGTCTTGACAGTACGGACCGAGTGTAGCGAGGTCCGTACAAAAAAGACCGAGGGCCGATATTCTTCCAGTGCGGCCCCGAGAAAGCTTGGTTAATAAGAGATTTATTATACGACTGAAGTTCAAAGGGACATCGGTATCATTCGGGACAGTGCCCGGTCCAATACTGAGAGAATATTGACCGGCAATAGAGCATTTTGCTTGGTTGATTTTAGTTATTGGCCCTCTGACTGCCCGAGTCGTGTAATAATTTCAATTATTAAACAATTAAGTAACTTGACTCTAATCAAATTTCCAGAAGTTGTGGAATTTCATTCATTTAAATGAAATCGTACATTTCAAAGCAATTAATGAGCAATGTTGTGGTTGCACAGTTTCACATAAGTTTATACTAACGTTCCAGTTTATTCTCATCCATGGTTTATCATATTCGTTTATAATGACATTTGAACATGCAATTGTGATTTTCAGTTATTAGGCAATTAATTAACTTTACTGTAATCAAATATCTAGAGGTTTTGGACTTACAGTTAAAGGAAATCGTACATTCGTAGCAATTATGTGAGATTTAAATGTGACGCCACATGTCAATTATACTTTATACTCAATGTAAGTTGTTTTTTTCTAAAAATAAAATTTTGTTACAAATGATTTTCACTTTCTACTTTCTTTAAATGGTATTGTTCATTTTAACACTATTTAGTAGTTTCGATTTGACGATCATATAGTTTGTACTTTCTTTCTCGTTTTCTTTTTTGCTTTCTTCCTTTCTTCCTTTTCAGCTCTGTTGCATTCTTTCTCTTCTCTTCGGAATCCCACAGAAATAAGGCAACGCTCACCAAACGTGGTTTAGGCTAGTCTTAAAAATATTTGTATTTGTAACAGGACTACATGCTGTCCAGTTTGTACTAAAATAATTGAATGAAAAAAACTCTGAAATAACTGAATGAAAAAAATTCTAAGGAGAGCTAAAATCATAGAAGGCAGTAGGAAGGTAATGGGGCTTGTTCTATTTGCTCTCAATAATTTTATTAATGGTTTATCAACTAGTTCCAGAAGGCGGTCTAAAATTTTAATTAGGCCTGATTCAGCCGCTGCCTCATTGGAGACTACGTGGGGAGATGCGTGGGAAGATACGTGGGGAGACCGTCCGTGATCGGACGGATGCAAGTATCGAAAACTAAGCTAACTCGGGTGTGCCAAGACCAGAGTGTTTAAACCTGCGATAAACTATACAAGCGCTTCTTAGCTTTCTTGATAATGGAGTAAATGTGGCAGTTCCATTTCAACTCACTGGAGATGTTTAGGACTACTAGTTTTCCGAGCACTGCCAACTACTTGATCGAATGAATTCGTGTCGTTTGTGTTAAAGTTTAAACGCAGTTCCTTGCATTTCGTCTCGTTTAGTTGAAACTTATCCACGGACGCGTATGTATGAAATAAGATGCGACGATACAAAACAAACATTAACATATATAACCAAAGTAAACAACAAAATATGAAATGAGCCTAAACTATGAAAGTAAGGGCTTCCAAGTACAAAGCGAAACAGAACGGACTAAAGATTAGGGCGAATACAGAGAAGACTGACTAACGGCTTTCAATGATAAAAAAAAGTATTTGTACCTGCTCGCACAAGTGTCTGCATGCAATCCACGTACCCACGCATAGCAGTGCAATGCAGTGGCGTCTCGCCAAAATTATTGACGCTCTTCCAATCAGCGCCGTACATCAAAAGCAGTCGCACACTTTCTACATAGCCGTGCCTTGCAGCGTAATGAAGCGGCGTGTTGGGGCCATTGTTATTATACGTGGCAGAGTCCACTTTTGCACCTTTTTCTAATAATGATGCAAGACAGTCGATGTGGCCGTTAAGTGCGGCTTCGTGTATAGCTTGCCAGCCGTAGAAATCTTCAGCTGTCACGTCTGCGCCGTATTTTATGAGAATTTCCAAGCAGTGTGAGTGACCGTGGCGGGCAGTAAAATGCAGCGCTCGTAAGCTATGAGAAAAGAGGGGAATTATAAATACAGCCATGCAGAGGAAACGGCTCAATGTCCTAAAACAAAAACAAAAACAAAAAAGAAGTCGAAATTTGCTGCACTTAATTCTACAAATCAACTACTGGGCACTAAAAACCAAAATCATCACGAAGAATGTTTCAAACATAACTTCGAAAATGCCATAATTCTCATCATCACTCCACTTGTGCATGCATGCGTACGTGTAGCCTAGAGTTCAGTCATGGAAAATTCAGCTATGGTGTGCAGCATACTTTATCATAGCCTAGCCTGTGTCAGCCTTTAATAAGAGGTTATTCACAATATTGCTATCTTGAATATCATTAAATAAGCATTCAGCTGTCTGGGATACTAGTGGTTTACATTACTTAACTGATCTCACACCCAAACAGTTAAATATATTCCAACATTTCCGAAAAAAAATATATTGACAAGCATGCCCCATATGTATGGTGTTGCAGATACCCCTAGCGCCCATTTGATGGAACTCTCCACTTCTCTTATGACCAGTGTGACAATGTTTACTCACCTCGAAAATTGCGATTCTCTTTCGTTTGGATCCATTCCTTGCTGTAAAACTAAGGTCAGGTCTTTTTCATTTCCTGTGCGAGCACTATTGAACATAACACTTTTTGGGTCCCTGGGTTCATAGTTGACCATAGATGTTGTACTTTCATGCTTTTCGACGGTAGAAGCGCCCGTACCCATGGCTGTAGTCTTCCTAACTTGTTCAGTTATTGTTGGTTGTCCTTTTCTTCTTTCCATTCGCTATTATGACGCTCAATTAATTGTGGAAGTTCTACGCGTCATTTGTAGTAAGCCATATTTGCAAGAGAAATTAGAACGATCAGTTATGCCAGTTCTCTCGTGAGGTGGTAACTTTCACTATCTTCATCCGTGTTTCAGTAGAATTTTTACGGTTAGCGGATCATAAGTTTTTCTAACTGACATACCCTCGTTGAAGATTCGACAGGAATCTCAAAGCCGGTTGCTGCAAAGCTGTGAAACAGCCTCAAACACAAACAAAGTTTGAGCACGTCAACTCAAAATTAGAATGAGTCATTTTAATCGTGAGCTTGACGTAGCTTATTCTCGGTACTAAAGCGACCTATCGAATCCAAGGTCATTCCAGCCCAAACTTTGTCGCTTTGAAATTCGAGGCTTTCTTTACATAAACTAGTAAAAAATTCTTGGAAGCAGACTCTAACAAGGTCAAATACTCAGGAAACTATGTCATGGGAGAAACCAATATATCGTCATTCCACAATCCTTCTTGACTTCAGAATATTCTGCATGTTTAGGAAATATGAGGAGTCAAGATTAGAAATGAAGGTGAATAGATAAAAGGCGACAGACAATAAAATTTACGTTTCCCTGTGCTGCCGATTTACGAAAAAAACAATTGTCGCTCAGCCCACGAAAGTTGGCGGTAGTACCATGGGTCAAATTCTTTCTCGAAATTTCGGTCAAACATAAAGGCATTTAACTGGCATTGCTAACGCAAACGGAAATGAAGTCGCAGATGCTTGCGTGATCCAAGTAAATATTATTTTCATTATTAAGGGTGGTCTCCTGTGAGCGATCTGAATTGTTTTTTAATTGCTTTTTTTCGAATTTCATGCCCTAAACTTTCATTTTGGTGACACATGCGAATCGGACAATGACTAGATCGATCGAAACCTTAGAAACATAGCTGTAATCTGTCATACTAAATTTGAAAATTTCCCATGCTTAATGAGAGTTTTTACGTCTTATAATTAAAGGCGTTTATCACATAACGACGAACGAGACATGACGACGTAAGAACTTCCGGAAGTGAGTAGATCCGAGCATGTTGCTCAACCCGTCAAAACAGTCTACCACACGGTAAAGACATTCCAGGGTAAACATGGATTTGAGTTCCGGCGCCAACTATTCTTCGAGTTAGCGTGTCCTCTGCGATGCAAAATCAAAACGAGCCGAACAGATTTTGATATTACAGCTGTTCCTTTGTTTTGTTTTGTTTTTTTTTTTGACAACATGCCACACGTATTTAACTGCGGCTGCTTTGGAGACTTGTGATGATTACACGTCATAAGTTTGAAATTTCAGTTATTTTAGTGATGGGGTGGTTGACAAATCTTTATGTTGCGAATTGAAATAAGCGAGCAATGCTACCAGTTTATGTGAAATCTAAAGGTTTCTCTTTAGATAGAAATTCGAATGTTTTCAACTGTATAATATCGCAGTTATTCTTCACGAAAATCACCAAAGCGGCACGATTCTGTCGGTGTAATGGGATCTCTTGGGAATCAAGGTTGGCTCATTTACACATCACCCTTTTGAACTCTCTTAAAAAAGTCTGTACCGACGCATTCTGGCTAGGGGCGGCTGATCTGCCTTCAAGGAGCATATATCCGGAAGGAAACCCCCTAAGCCTATGAATCTTATTTCAATCCATCAACTTCACATCTCTCGTTGCCAGGGGTACACTCTTCCAACCCATGTGTTTGAGAAGTCGCGAATCGTCATAAACAAAAACCAGCCAATCAGATGCAAGATTGGACCCTTTAAATATGGCCGCGTACTTTGAAATTGGTCTGCTTGCTAAACTAACAATTACAAAGCAAGGAAATTGAATTATTGTGAGGTTCTTTTTACATTGAACCATTAATTTTGGTAAGTCAGCAGTTCAAAAAGTTATTTAATTGGGCTACTTCTTTATAAGATTTTCATTTCGGACTTTTTCAGACAGAAATTACCGAAAATATGGCTCAGTTCGAATTCGAGAATGGCGTCAACGACTGCTTGAAAAAGCTCGAAGCTCCTCTTTCTAAAGGGCCTGTTCCACGCTGGCAAAGGAAAGAAAGGGAAAGGATTTTAGCTTCAACCGGAAAAGTTTTATCGCCGCTTCAAACCACTGGTCGCAACCGCGTGAACTCGAAACTATCGTCAAAAACTCAAACTTGCACTCCAGGCAAAAGAGCAAAGACTCCGACGAAGACTCCTCAAAAATCCCCGAGAAAGTTTGGACTGTCTCCTCGTGGTGACCGTTTTATTCCCTCCAGGCCGCTTGTCGACTGCGAATGGAGCCATTTTCAAATTATTCAAGGAACGGACTTAGGCGAGGCGAACTGTGAGATGGAAGTCGAAGGAAACTCGCAGTACTACGCAAATATGGCAGAGAATTTGAGCAGCAGCTCAAGTAATAGCAAGATTCTACATTTCAAGTCTGGGGCACCTGTGGCGAGGGAAGGTAGCGTAATGGAATCTATTTCTCTGACAGGCTCTTGGCGTTAAACCCTTCATCAATCATCAATCATATCCTTTATTTAAATAGATGAGGTTTAAAGCTGGGGGGAGCTTGTGGGGTCGTGTGATTATGATTACAATAACAATAAGGATAGTGTCCCTTAAAATCACTCTACAAAATATACAGTAAGAATAATGAAAATGATTTACATTGTTTATCTCTAAGTAAATTGACTACAGCATTTAAAACAAAAATAGTTAAAAGCATTTAAAATCTTGGTAGTGCCTGGGTAGTGACTGGACTGACTGTGCGCTAAAATCGAGATCCTTAGAAAAGGAGTCCTTCTTCACTTTGCGATAAAAAAACTGAAAACTGGTCTGTGAAATGTTTCGAGACACCCTTATACACACCAAGAATGAATTGTAAATTCTCGAGAATGTCTAACTTACATTTTACTAAATTGTTGCTTTGAAAAGGGTTCAATAAAAAAATTGCACCCCCCCCCCGACCCTTCAACCCCAGGGAGTTATTAACACCTAATTTCTCCTTACAATATCAACCCTGAATCACACTTTAACTTCACAAGAAATAAAGTAAAATGATCACCAAACTGAAAAGCTCTTGATTATAAGACAAATTCTCCTTGTCAGATTCTTTATGAATGTATAGAGAACAGTATGGAGAATATGCATACTGATGTTAATGTGTAAAGGGTGAATGATATTTTTCTCTCCTCTCTTACTTTTGTGCTTTAAAGTGTATTGATGTGGGGATTAGTAATTCTGTATTGGTCACTTCCAGGTCAGTTAGTATAGGTAATCGCATGGGGCCCGAATAAAATTAAGGATTAAGATCACGCGTGTTTTCGGAAATTGCTGAAATTGCCCAAGTCGCGCAGGGACAAGGGCAATTTCTGCAACTTCTGAAAACACAAGTGATATTAATCCTTAATTTTACGAGGAACCATGTGATTACTTGTTTATTATATAAGGAGCAAAATGTATTCTTTCTGAACTTGTGTAAAACGGGACGCCATTGTTACAAAACAAACAGAAATTTCTTTACCTTGGCAGCCGTTGCTAAGCGATTTTCAGCCAATCATTTTCAAGTAATTTTTCCCAGGCAATTACAAAAATTAAGAAAAAATGCCCTCAGTCTTGACCAATCACAATTCAGTTATTTTGCCCCTTGTATGATAAATATATAAATTCTTAATTTGGTTAATTTGACTGGCTATGCTTGTAAAACAAAACAACACTGAGATTAATATGAGATAATAAGATAAGTGAAAGATAATAATGATGATGATGAAATCAAATTGAGTAATGAACTTTCCATTTTACAAATACAGCCGATGACCAGCAACGGTTTCTTAAGCAAGGGCTATTAATCTGTGGGTTTCCTTCAAAACAGGCATGAAATGTGAATTGTATGTGTACAATATTATTTTCATGTATTATTATTATTTATGTATTTAGGACATCAGAATCAATTGAGAGTGTTGTACTGTCAAAGCAAACCTGCTGCACCTAAAGCTAAGTCCACAAGACACATCCCAAAGGTAGAAGATAGAATTCTAGATGCACCTGATCTTTTGGATGATTATTGTAAGTAAACATTTTGACAACCAATGGTGAAAGTGATTAATATTCTTAAGTGCTTTTATTTTAACTAGGTCCACCTTAATTTTTACAGCAAATCATAAAATGATTTCAAGTGAATTATTGTGCTAAGACTGTTCAGACTTATGGACAGTAAAGTTGTGTACAATATTTCCCTAGATCTTGGCCCCAGTTCCCTCAAGGGTCAAGAAGAATAAACTGAATTTTTGTCTTGCATGCTTTCAACATGGTTTTGCAACTATTATTTTAGTTATGGGTTAGACCTTGGAAATCCTGAACAAAATTTGGTGTCTGCTCTCTACAATTTCTTCACTTACAGTTCAACTTTCAGGATTAGTCTGTTATTTCAGGTCAATCTGATTTAGTTATTATTTCAACTGTGATCAGATCTGAACTTGTTAGACTGGGGATCCATAAACCAGCTTGCCCTTGCTTTGTCGGGTGCAGTTTACACATGGAATCCAAGTACTGGGGAGACACAGCATTTGTTTCAGTTGGATGGTGAAGATTATATTTCCAGTGTCAACTGGATTGGTCAGGGCAATATTCTTGCTGTTGGTAATAGTATTGGCCAAGTCCAGGTGAGTTAGAAGAAACACACTATTTGAATAAGGCTTTATTTTCAATGCATCTGGTGATTTCTAAGTCACTGCCCCATGACTAACCAAGGAAGTTGATTCATGAAAGTGTGAACAAATGGCAAAAAATATTACATGTTATGACACTGTTATTAGTCATTTTAGTATATATTATACGTATATATATATATATATATATATATTTTAAGAAATATACAACTTTTTTTAGAGACATGTTTCGGCATGCTTATGCCATCTTCAATGCTTATTCCATCTTCAATCAGCATAAGCATAAGCATGCCGAAACATGTCTCTATTAAAAGAAGTTGTATATTTCTTACAATATTTATCCTACTTGCTACTACTACGATCTTATTGAACCGCCTCCCGGTTGGCTCAATGGATAGAGCGCTGGACTGTTGTGCGGGAGGTCGAGGGTTCGAGCCCCGGTCGGACCAACACTCAAGGTCTTAAAATAATTGAGAAGAATATGCTACCTTTCTATAACATCAAGAAATGGCTAGATATTCTAGTCTTCTCGGATAGGGATGAATAAATGGAGGTCCCGTCTCCTACAGGGTTAGGGGTAGGAGACGTTAATTTCCCACGCACGAGATTACTGTGTGATGGATGTCCTCCCCTGGGGTGGGATGGGCGGGTTAGGATTGATTGTAAAGCGCTGTTGATCTGTCATTGTAAATAGCGCTCTATAAGTGATAAATTGTATAAA